CATGATAAAAATTCTAGCTAGTAAAAAGCCCTGACCTCAATACCAAAAGCTCAACAGAGGTTTACAGATCTGGTGGGGGAAAAAAAGCACTTCACCAAAGGGAAACAAATAATGGCTGGACTGGATCCCTTAAATATCCTTTAATCATTTAGGATGGTTGAGGATAAGGAGATGCAGTACCAGTAGCAAAGGGAAAAAAATCCCGCAGCCCAGTGAAACTTGCAAAACACTATTTGATGTGTGCACAAAGAACGAGAACCTCCAGCCCTCCTCCAGTTATCCAAATCATACGTTCCATGGAGCACTAGGCATGTTATCACTGAAGTCCTATAAGATCTTTATTATTATTAGTTTAAAAAATTTGTATTGTTAACAAAGCAGACAAAACCATTTACTCATTATAGCAAGCAGCTGACAAGGAAACGTGGAGGGCTATTCATTAAGTAATTACTACTTTTAGGCAGAAAAAGTTAGAGTTTTTAAAGAAGAAAAAAACAGTACAAAATCAAATCATCTATTCTTTTTTTTGGTGGGTGTAGGGGGGTAACATTTCATGGAAAAGACAGTTCTACAAATGTCAATCAGTTTGACAAGCAATTATCCACTTAGTTTACGAGGATGACATAGACTGCAAGTAGAACACCTCAGAAGAGACTAACTTGGTTACTCTATCATATAATGGTAAAAAGGTACATTGGTACCCCTCCAATACTAAACATCCATGCTTTGTCCGAGTTCTTGCTGAAATGGGAACAAACCGATTTATATTTTCCAGCTAAGAACAGGTCAGTCTGCACAAGATTTTTTCCAGCATCTCAAAAACTAATGAGAACAGTGTTACTTATGAAAAGACAGTGCAGCTTCAGTAACTTTTATTTTAGAAATGATCATGTTAAAGTGTAGACTGACTTCATTCCTTATTAAACAAGCTGAGCCTATCCTAAGGCATTTCAGGCATAGATTTACACTGGCATCAAATTAAAACCCCTGCCAAAAAAGGCAAGAAATAGGATTTTCAAAAACATGCAAGTGCTTTAGGATCTTTGATCCCCATTCATCACACCATTGTGATTTATGCTTCTAAATCCCTTAAGCACTTTTGAAGCTCTATTCCCTCATATATTAACACAGCCACACACCACCTGATAACATTTTAAAACTAAAGAGCCTAAGGTTGATCATATAAAATTTCAAAAGTGCCAGCATGACTTTGGTGATCTTGAAAATAAGACCAGGGTTTCTAAGTCACTGAGGACCTTAAAATCCATATTTAAGCACCCCAAAAAAGAGCACCTACAACTCTCCTTGTTTCTTTGTTTTTAATAGGGTTTGAGATCCTCGGCACCTTTGAAAATCAGACTACATTAATTTAGGTGCCTGAATATGGATGATACAAAGAGAAAGGAAAAGATAGCATGTGTGAGTCTGTGGTAGGCTACCAGGTGAGGGAAAACAACTGTTTTGTTTCAGTTACCAACTGCTGATTGAAGTGATGGATGTTATATCCATCCTCGATACATGTTAGGCAACCATAGAGATTACTATAATGTATTTGTAGCACTAATTTATACAAATGTTTCTTACTTCTCAATTTCCCACCATTTTATGTGTTTTTCTAGATTGGAACCTACTGTGCAAAGCAGAGCTGCAAGACCGGCTGGAAAAGATTCAAGATCTCCTCTTTCTAGACAGCAGGATCTGAACTGTATCTTTTTCATTCCATGAAAGAACACATTTGGTTACTAACCAAGCATTTACAATTATGTTTCTATTTTCTGTTTTAATTCATCTTGGAAGAACAGAGAAAGTCCACTAGCAGAGGCTGCAACATTTTAGCCAATGCTCAAGGTTGAATAATCTGATCAAGCAGAATAAAAGGGACATCAGCCTAGTTTCTAACCTTACATAAAGTTCAGGAGGAACCATCCTGTTTATACTACAAGGGGCTAGTTCTTGGCATCTGAATTTTATTCAGAAGGAATATAGTGGCCTGAAGTTGGCTATATGTTGCAAAAAGGGCTTCATACACAATGTCACAAATAAATGCAAAAGAATCACTTTGTAGTATCTCGTTTGTTTTCATTCTTCCAGAGACAACAGGGAGTATCTGTGAAGACAAGTATAAAACCTTAAAGTTTCACAAAGATTAACACAAATGGTTATTCGTCCAAAAAATCCTACAGGAAAGTGCTTCATTCATTAGTTCTTCATAGTTGTGTTTATACATTTCAAAGGTTTCAATCATCCTAGCCAGGGAGCAGAAACAATGCCATGGGAATTCTGGGACAACTCACATAGTAGGAACAATAGATAGCAAATAGAGAACGGATGAGTGCACAACGTTGCACCAACCAATAAGCGAAAAGAGACTTATTCAAGCTTTCTGGGCAGTATTTGTAACAAGGTATATATACACAGAAACCAGGGTCAGTTTGCAAATGATCTGCAACAGAACTACAATCTCAATAAATACTTTTTGCATCATATATTTCAATCTGCTCTGATATTCATTTGTGTATGGGTTTGTCTGCACTTATTCAGACATGTGATTACTGAATGTTAATTATGCCCACTAGCCTTACAATGCAAGTGTAGGGACCTATAGCAGTGAAGACAAAGCAGCATGGAATAGCTACTTGTGTGGTACCCTGGGTTCAAGGCAGACTTGTAGAACCCATGCTGAAATCTCTGCTGCTTCCAATTCCTTGTGAGTGGTAACTGGTTAGGTTAAAGCCAGTATAAGCACACATACGGGTGCTGCAGAAATACCTCTGCGCACATACCTGAAGTCCATGTCAGTGACATTCTGTATGACCTAGAGAAAATGATTTAGTCTCTCCCTGTTTGGCTGATGGAGGAAGCATGCTTGCTCTGGGTTCCACCAGATTACCTGTAATCTTCAATTCCTTCACCATTACAATAGATGCTGGAATGAAGGAAACACCCCATTCAGGCATTACACTGGTGTACATTTCCCTAATCTAGATAAACCCTCATCCTTAATTCAATACAAAGACAAATTCTGCTCTCATTGACACTTGTGAAAGTTGCTGAAGCCAACAAAATGACTCCAAATTTCCACCGGTCTAGCAGTGATGGAGTGACCCATTTGACCAAGAGAATAGAAATATGCATGCATACGTATGCATGGTTCTTTTTATGCCCTTTTAGGGACAGATCTTGTGACAGCTAAAACCAGTGGCAAAATTCCTAGTGATTTTAATAGTGCAAGATTCAGTCCTTCCTACCTCCCTGTTTTGAAAGTAAAATAATTAAACACTCAGGAATGAGAAAGCACCAAACAATTTGCCAAGTTTATGTCAGGCTTTATCAGGTGATCTTGCAGTAATCCTGTAAGTAACATATCACAAACATCAAGTCAAAGACTTAAATCCTCTTGAGATATGGGCTAAAAAAGAGACATAAACAAAAATCAAACATTTAAACCTGCCATCCTACAACCAGAGTTAATCCCTTTGGAGAAGTGAACTTTCCTGACATCTAGATGAATTTTTCCATGGATGGCACGTCTTCTGTGGTGTATACATCCCGTTGATACACACAAGGATTCTCTGACACGCACACAATCCACTCTCTAAGCATCAGTATATAGACTATATTAAATGTATTCCAAACATTTCCATGAAGTATTTAATGACCTAGAGCAAAGACATCAGACTCACCTGGCCCCCCAGGCTGGATCCATAATGCAGAGCTCCTTGTGGGCTGGATCCAGACATTACAACAGCAGACGAGCAGCATCAAGGAGCCAGGAGGTTAATACAGGCTGTTGCTCACCCCCCACCCCACTGCCAACACACATCCTCAGTGGGGATCCATACCCTGGATTTTGGCAGTGAGCCCCACCCCACCCACCCCACCCTTAAATTCTCAGCCCCTTGAGGAGCATTGTGGGATAAATGACATAGCTCTGCAAGCTGGATCTGACCCATGGGCTATATGTTTGATACCCTGAGCTAGAAAATACAATAACCACAAACTGAGCTGACCTGAATTAGGAAGAATCACGTATGTATGAATGAATGTAGTTGTCCATTTCCAGTAGTACTGGAAATGCACTGTGGGCAAACACTAGCCATAGGGCGGGAGCATATTCTATCTCTGAGGCATCCAGGTGGGTTTAGGCACCAAACTGGAATTCAGTTCCACCCTGCTTAAATCCCTTAAAACCTGTTGACGCAAAAGGTGGGTGGGGCCTCCTCCTCCTCAGTGCATTATTGTGGTTTAATCTAAGCTAAGATGATGTCTCATTACAGAAGTAGATGAGTTAATGGTTTTTTCAGAGACCTGATCAGGGATTTGAACTGCACTTAGGCATCTAGTCTGTGGAAAAGGATCTGGCTCGCAATCTCTAGACAGCAGAAGATAACCATCTAAAAATCTCTAACACTGAAGGCAGTGGGGAAGCAGTGGGTTTGTTCTCAAGCCAGTCTCTTGGCTAATCTAAAGAATTTGCAGAATTTGGCACAATACCAGCCAAGCATCTTTCAAAAATAGCTCTATATTTTACATGTGTACACTCAAGTACCCTCTAGCTTCTGTTTGTAAGATGCTCAGTCCTGGTATGTCACAAGAGCACGCTATACCAAATCCCGTTCATCTGGGGACGTGGAGTTGTTTTCACCACAGCAGGTAAAGGCCTGCACTTACCAATATCTATACCTGGTACCAACTTCATTATGAGCGTGAGCAGCTCTAATTTCACTGATTTTATTGGAGTTACATTTGGTTTCATCAGTCCTGAATTTGATGCCTAATGCCCAGTTCCTACCTCTGAAAACTAGATCTGTGCCCCCCTGAACTAAAGGTATATCCCTGGTCATACTGTAAATCATCTAGAAAGTTGGAAATCACTATATTCTGAAGGGCTTTAATCAGAGACCTCAACAGAGGAGCCAGGCTTGGGGCCTGTTCTGCATTAACAGTCCCACTGACAAAAAGAGAAACCTGGCCTTCTCCTCCACAGCTACTGAGGCCCCCTGGCAGTAGACGTTGATGGGCTCCACAGTGCAGTGAGGAATTGGCTGCCGGGGAACAATATAATGGATGAACCCCCCTTCCAGTCTGCTCTGACAGGCTGTTTACATATAGAAATTTACCAAAATAGCTGTTCCAGAATACTGATTTCTGGGCACATCTACATGAGAGGTTTACTGGGCAGTTGCCTAATTAGCTCTACAGTAAAGTCTCAGCATCTATACTTGTGGCCCTATTAGGCCTCAGTAACATAATTAACTCTGCTGTAGGCTGATACTTATAAACACAAGTGCTGTCCTATGATGGTGTTCTGTACTGTGCAGCCATGCACATGTAGACTTGACAGGGCTGCCTGGGGCATGAGGGTTCTTCAGTTGAGGGGCTGTCTACTGGCTTGCCCTGCACTAGAGCACCCTTGTGCCCCAGCCAGCCCCTCCACAGCATGTTGATCTGGCTGGAAATAGCCCCAGGATGGCAGGCTAATCCCCTGGCCTCCTGCCAGCCAGGGCTGCTCTGCCCCAGCTCAATGTGCTGCAGTCCCGAGCAAAAATATAAATGTGGCGCCAAGGAGCAAT